GCTTTCTGCAGCCTCTCCCTGGTGAATGGACAAAGAGCTGCTGGAAGTAGTTGTGTACTCCTTCACCTGGTGAGGAGAAAGCAGGCCCAGGAGGGCCTGCGGCTTCCGTAAAATGACTTGACAGAATCGATGCCGTGAGGAGGTAGCCGAACTGGGCCGTAATGGAAGGGCCAGTGTCCTCTTTACTGCCTAGCGTTGCTTCTTCAGTCAGCCAAAGTGGTCCCCCGCCTCTCGCTGGAGGCCTTCGGGCAGGGGAGTCTCGAGGCAGCCCTCCCAGCCTTGGACGACTCTCAGCGACAGGAAATCTCTGTCCACGTCAAGCCTGTGGTGGCTTCTCTACAGCTTCCCCCTTTGGTTGCTGGTCCTGCCTCCTGGGGCCAAAGAGAACAAGTGTCGTCTCTCCCGGAGGGGCCTCTGCTGTCCCAGCCCTGATCCCCCGGTGGGTGAGAGCCTTCTTGTTTAGTGTAGATGCTGACATGTTCATTTGAACAAACGTTACCATGTATCTCTGAATGAGAAGGCCGAGTGTGAGACAATGCTTCCATGGTGGCCACTGCGGCTGTCACTGACTGTACATATAACAGAAGACCGCTAAGCATTTGAGCAGCGTGCTCATTTGGCCGTTTGTTGGAGGCTCTTTAAAGATGCTAGACTGATGCTGAGATTGATGTATCTCAATGAAGTGTTGCATGTAGCCTGCTAAGAGCTCTCCTGACGTTGTTCCCTCCAGGCCCTGTTCCTGCTACGTGTCCCTCCCCTGCTTTAGAACATCCCTGGCTTTCTCTTTGTAGGTTAAATGGAAACTGAGCCCAGCTTTTAAGGCTCTCCATACCTTTTCAGGCTTTTTCTTTCATGCTTTCTTGATTCCGTTTCCTTTCTAACGTCTTTGTCCCTTCTCACTGATACTCTGCCTTCAGACAGAACTGTCCTTTGTTACAAATAAATCGAGTCAAGAAAGCACACAAACACATGGACTGTGCCTGGGATGTTTGCCTCCCCCGAGGCATGTTGCTCACCTGCGGTGGCAGGCCCTTTCCTCTGTAGTCACGACTCTTTAGCTTTATTTCCAGCCACACAGGACTACTCACTCTTTCTCCAGCTTGGCACCCTAACTCTCATTTCCATGTCTTTGCATAGACTTTCTCAGTTTCTCAGAAGGTTCTGCCTCCTTTCTTCTGCCTATAGAAATCCTTTTCTGTAGGTGTTACCTCTGACATGAAGCCCACCTATTCTTGTCTTCCCACAGAAAGCATCATCTTCTTTTTCCTACATCACTTTTGTCCAGATCCATCTTTCTTCATCACGTTCCAGAGCCTATCATGCTTAACTGTAGTCATGCTCCAATAGTTTCTCGGCTTCTGGGCATTCTTTTCATCTTTATGGTGGCATTTGTTGTACCCTCAGTAGTGTGCTAAATTTGATTAAAATCTGTTAACACCTTTAAAAGTTATCTCGGAACAGACGAGTGCGCAATGCATTTTGATCCCTTTGAGACAGACATCTTTTCAGTACAATCACTTACCAGAGCCCTCACTGGAATCAGGATGTTGGATGGATGACTTAAGCAGTAGAAATAGAGTGCTTTTGCACACTAGTCCTTCAATCTAGGGTCCTGTTAACTCTTGTTTTGTATATCCATTGTTTTAATGGGTTTGCTTTTAAGATGTAAAAGAATTAGGATTGAAAACATCCCTATTACATCATATTAAGTGTTTGTCTTTCTTCATTTGGAGGACTAATCAACTGCAACTAGGTTTTCATTAGAAGGCTTGGAACTGGACTGGCTGAAACAGAACACCTGGAAGAGTGCCACCCTCACAGTGACTTCTTGTGATTGTTAGAAACGCCTTGAGCTGAGTTTTCATTGAGCTGACATTTTCTCCCCGTTGGTCTCCGCCCTCCCCTCCCCCTATTCTTTTTTTTCCCTTTCCAACTTTGGGCTCCCCCTCCTCCATCCTTCACTCTCTTCTTCCACTCCTATTGACTTTTCTTGATCTTCTTTTCTGCCTCATTCTCTGGCTATTCTTCCCCACCCTCAATCTCTCCTTTCTTTTATTCCAGAACCAAAGCAAAGGGAAAAGAATAATTTATTCTTCTAGCATTTTAAAAACAGGAACAACCAGACCATGGAAAGGAGCTACGGTCTTACTTCAAGGCTTGAGTTCTGCTCCCTGTGTCTTTAATAGTTGAGGCACTAATAACAGTAACTCACATTTCTGTATCACTCTAAGGATTGTAAAGTGCTTTCTCCTGACCCTGACAATAATCCTGTTGAGGTGAGAATCTCAGAACTGGGAGAGTGCTAACTTGAAACAGATGATTTCTGGTGTAACCAGGATTTGCCTTCACAGTATCAGAAGCAGAAATGGCCATCCAGCCTGTTTGAAGCCTCTACCCCATGGCCCCCGGGAAGGGAGAACCTTATTACCTAAGTCTCTTCCTTAGGTCAAGCCTAGATCTGCTTGTTGTCAGTTTCTCCTCTTCCTCCTAGTCCTGTGCCCGAGAGCCAAGCAGAGCACATCTCGGTCCCTGTTCCTCATGACAGTCCTTCAGACACTTGAAGACCTCCCCCCACCCCCAAGTCTTGTTTTCTCCAGGATAAACATCCCTGGTTGCTTCAGCCAATCCCCATAGAGCTTGGGGTGAATTCGTTGCCTCCTCAGGCCCATGTCACCTCCTACCAAGAGACTTTTCTGATAACCTGCTTATTGGCTTTCCTTCTTCCAGCCTTTCCCATTACGAGGATATCCTTCACGTGGGCGCCAGTACCATCTTCCTAAGTCACAGGCCTGACCATATCTCCCTCTGCTGCTTAAAAACCTTCAGGGTCTCTCTTGTATCTTGTATGTAGCTAAGGACCACCCAAGCTGGAGTTTAAGGTCCCAGCCCCCCCCCCCCCCCCCCCCGGTCTGGCTCCATCCTCATTTCACCTTATTCATCTTTACACACTAGTCATTCCAGCTCACCTGCACTACAAGCTGGTTCCCAGACTTGGAGCTCATGAGTAGCCTTTAGTCTGTGCTCATAGAAGGAGCATGGGAGCATTTAACCTGGAGAAGATAAACTTCAGGCTGGTCGGGGTATGAGGATGGCAGAGTGTCTGAGGGGCTGTCATATAGCAGAGGGGTTAAAGGAATAGGTGGAAGTAACAGAGGCCGAGGCAGACGCGATGCCAGGAGGAATCTCCTACCGACAAGCTCTGTCTGAATGTGAAATGGGCCACTTTGAGAAGTAATGGAGATGCTGTTGGGGAGCTCAGGTGGAGGCTGGCTGGGCAGCTCGTGAGGCGGACACGAGGGCCACGTGGGCTCCTTTCAACTTTATAAAAGACTGCTGTGTCTAACAATGTGCCTTGCGTAGAAGAGGACTTTAGAACTGGGCCAGAGGTCCCTTAGCGTGGGTATGTACGTAATGTAGATATCATTACCCTCCCCTGCAGATGACAAAGTGGATGAGCTGGGAGAGAATGCGTCTCACTCTGAAAATCTCAAAACTAGTACATTTTAAAACCCAGGCTTCTTAAGTGAATTTTCCACTATATCACAATCACTCAGTGATTCACAAAGCATTTATTAGGCACGTTTGGTGTGCCAGGCACTGTGCTAAGTGTTGGAGATACAAAGAAAGACAAAAAGTCCCTGTTCTCAAAGAGGTCACAGTGTTATGGAGGAGATAGCATGAAAACTGCTAAGTACAAAAGGTCTAGACAGAATAAATTGGAGATAATCAGTAGAAGGCAGGCACCATCATCAAGGAGAATTAGGAATAGGTCCTTGAATTAGGCGAGATTTTAGCTGGGACTTGAAGGAAGGTTGGGGAAATGAGGAGGGAGAGTGTTTCAGGAATGGAAGACAGTGGAGATGCCAGGGCCAAGAGAAGGAGTATCTTGTCTGAGGAATAGCCAGGAAGCCAGTGGCATTGCATCACACAGTACCTGGAGGGGAGGAGCAGAGAAGACTGGAAAGGGAGGAGGAGGTGAGGTGGCGAAGGGCTTTAAAAGCCAGAGGGCTTTATATTTGATCCTGGAGGTAATAAGGAGTCACTGGAGTTTATTGAATAGCAGGGTGATGCAGTCAGATCTGTGCTTTAGCAAGATTATTTTGACAGCTGATTGGAGGCTGGGCTGGAATGGGGAGAGGCAGGAAGACCAACCAGAAGAATATAGCAGTAGTCCCTTCATGAGGTGGTGAGGGCCTGCACCAGGGTGATGGCAACATCATAGAGAGAAGGAGGCACATACAGGTGGTGTGGTGAACATCAGATTGACAGGTTTTGGCAACAGATTGGCTGTGGGGAGTGAGAGACAATGAGAAGTTGAGGATGATGCCTGGGCTTTGACCCAGTGGTGCCCTGGAAAGGGCTAGGGAAGTGTGGAGAAAGGGAGTGTTTGGGGGAAAGGAGAATGAGTTGAGTTTTGTAGAACGGGGATAAAACGTGCATTTACCTGCTGTGAAGCTTACTCTGAGGAAAGAATTTGGTAAATGGAAAGTGCTGCTAGGTAGATGCAAGGTGTTACTCTTTGTAGGGATTGTTTGGCTTCATGTTTTGCCTTATTATGGCTTTCTAAGTTTTATTGACCTTTCAGTTTGTCATAAAATGATGGTTACATATAACGTGTTATGATTTGGACTCAACAAGTTTGATAAGTTAGTCTTCCAGCTGCAGATTGAAAAACGACTTCCTGGACCATTCTAGAATCAGCCTCCTCCCTGAATGGGATTTCTGCTCCCTGTGTCTTTTTATTTTACATGAATGATGCATAGTGAACAGCCCCTTGGCTTTATTCAAGCACTGCTGCCCTTTCTCATTGTCACCTCTTTCCTGTTCCCTTTAAAAAACAAACAGACAAAACCTCTCACTTTTGGATATGTGTGTTTGGGGTGGGGGGAGCCAGTGGAGATGAAACTAACATGTACATGATGTCTAGGCTGTAATTTCACACGCTGCCATGCTTTAGTGTGTTAGAAATAACTTCTGTAGGAAAGACAAGACTTCCGAGGTAGATGAGGAAAGTTTATTTATTATATGTTCTTGAAAGAAGCAGGTGTGCTGCTAGAGGCAGACACACACACAGAAGCAAAAGTGAGCAGTTATATTGTTGTCCAGAAATGCAATGTTCTCATTTCTTCATTGGTTGGATACTTTGAGGCATACGACTTCCCAGAATGCCTACTTCATATTGACCCTTAATATGTCTACCCCCACTACATACATTGCATGTACAAAATGGCAGATGGCTCCTCCTTAAGGGAGGAGAAGTTAATATTAATATCCCAATTAAGCATGCACAGTTTCGAGCAGATTGTGACTTTGTCCTACTTTCTACATCTTCAACCACACTACTAGTTTCGGCTGGTTCCTTCTGATTCTAGGTATTATTGCTAAAAAATATTCTGAATAAAACCGTTCTTTTTACACCGGTAGACACTTCTGAATTCTGTCGTTAAGATCACTTCCTCTACCTCTGTGGAAACATAATTTCCTGTACTTCACAATTCCCCCTCTTTCTTATTTCTAGGGATTACGTTTCCACGAAATTCCTACCTCCCTCAAAGTCTATCTTCAAAGTCCCTTAGTAGCTCCAGACATTCTTTCTCCTCTACATCCTCCTGGGTGGTTGGCTTCCTTCTTAAGACCAACATTTGGGCTCCTCTCCCTCCTGAGTTAACTATTTGCATCTTTTCCACCATCCTGGTAATTAAATTGATGAAACAGGGAATCAAACAGGGTAGGAGGGTGAGACCAGCAACTGCACATATTAGAAAGAATCTGAGTTGCTTCCATGTAGACGTGATCCACTTAGCCAACTAAACCAATTTGAGCTTAATATACTATCCCATTGTTATACTGGTAAAAGTAGCTCATGAGCTACTTTCCTAATATTTTGGGCTATACTCTTTGACAACTTGACCATTGTCATCAATTTGATACATTTAGTTTCCCACAGACACCTCCCTCTTCTGCTACCAAGTAATCCAATACCATTCTGTGTTGGAGCACTGCTTCCTGTGTTTGTGTGGCTTGGTCAGCTAGAAGCTCCAAGGCTTGTGCTGTTTGCTTAGTTAGGATCTCTACTACCACTTGTAGTTTTATCAGCCTATTTAAGATATAGATAGGGGTCCTATATTCTCAACTCCCATCTTGAGCCCAGGTAATCAGGCTAAATGATCCTCTGGGGGTGGGGCAGCATAAATTTCCCCATCCATTAGCATCACCTGTGTTTGTTTAGTGTCTATGGCCCTTTTCATTCTTCTCAGATTATCATAAAGAGGGATCTCCAATGTTGTTCTTGCCTCTTGTCCTAAAAAGAAGAATTTAGGTGTTGTTATTCCTACACAGCAAATTCCTGACCAACCTACAGGTAAGTGAATATAAGCCATCAGACCACATATCCAGTGATGACCCTTCAATGCTGCTTGCTTCTTGGGGAAGATAATCTGAGTGTCCCACACATGGGGGAAGTAATGACTTACATCCCAGCCAGTAGGTCCTGGAGATGTCAACCCTCCTTTTTTCCAGGAGCATTTTCATGCCCCCTCCTCTTTTCTCCATTTACGTTCACATTGCCAAGAGCCAGAAGGGGGACAGGGCTGTTCCTTATCGCTTCAGAAATCCCTAAATCCTTCTAGTCTAGTTCCTTTGGCATGATTCCAACCCTATCTCTGAACCCGGGATAGAAACTTCTCTTGGCTGATGTTGAGTCGTGCACACCAATTGACAAGCTCATATATATATTTGTCTACTCTTTCATAGGCTGATAAAATTACAAAATTTCCAACAGTCCTCAATCTTACTTTCAGGGGCTAGATTACAGTTTTGCCAGCTATGTTTTTCCCAGCAATCTTCTAGTCTGCCCTCAGTGGATAGATCACAATACACCCAGCTTCCATTTGGCAATCGAATGTGAGTTGAGTTCCATTTTCTCCTATACCGAGCACAATTAATCTCCTTACATCCAGTATGTACATTCCCACTCCAAGCTATAAGTCCAATTACAAATGCTCCTCGGCCTACTTTGGGGCTGAGGCCAGTTTAATTAAGACAATATTTGCCCACAGTGCTGAAGGTGAGGGGCCATGTATGTTCTTCTTCAGGCCATTTGGGAGTAGCGTTAACCCTGAATTCAGTCTTATCACTCAGAAGCCATTTCGGGGCCAGAGGGAAAGCCACCCATGGCCACTTATCCTCTATTTGCCACCCCCCCCCCCCCCCAACAATTAGTCAGGTTAAATGCACCAGCCATAGCTTCCCCAACATGTAAGAAGAGATTTTGGTTCCCTATTGAAGGTGGAGTTAGGGGTGGGACTGAGATACAGATCCCATTCATGGTACAACTCAATAGGAGAATCCAGGTAACTCAAACCAATTTCATCTTGGGACAGTAGGTAAGCCTGATATCCACACTATTCACTGGCAAGATGAGGAAGGTGGTTTCTTCAAACCCTAGTCTTTACCTTATCATCCAGTAACACTCTCTACCTATTCTTATGTCTACTACTTAGACAGCTTGGATACTCACTAATTCCCCACTAGGTCTTTCAAGGGGGTCCAAATTAAAGAATACTTTGTTATTTATAGCTAAGTTCTTCCCAAACCTCCTGGCTACAGAGTTCTGGGCCAATTGTCCAGTTGTCTGGAAGCAGAGAGAAAAGTTCTAGGAATCTCTTCCACGAGGTCCACCTGGGATTGCCTTCCAATCTAGGGTCAAATCCCATTAATAATTCCCTATGAATTTACAATGAAAATGGTTCCAACTGTTGTTGGGGGAAAAGGCAATTATATTCCAGAGCCCATAAGATAGTTAAGACAATGCTGACTACTAATACTAAAGCCAGTTCCAAGCCCTCACTCCCTACCATGCTCTTACTAACACTTTTTGATTAGAGGAGTCTCTTCTGTCTGTGGTTCTGTTCTATGGAAGTTAGATACTAGAAACAAACAATAAAAAATTAGCACAGCAAAGTAAAAGTGATAGGACAAAAATAATCAAGACTCCATCCTTGGTGGATCAGGATGGCTGTCCACCGTCCATTCCTAGGGTTCCTCTGTAGGTCCTTTAACTCTTGTATGAGTCCAGCCTTTCTCCACCATCCGATTGCAGTCTCAGTGGTCAATAACACCTGGCATGGTCCTTCCCAATCATGTAACATGGCTTCCTTCCAGGACTTGATCAATCCCCGATTTCCAGGTCGGTATTGGTGCACCGTCAAATCCAAAGGTGGAGTCTGTGCCAATGACTCCCTCTGTCTTAGTCCTGCAAGAATATCAGATATAGCCAGTATACAGTTCTTTAGGAGCACATCTTTACTCTCAAAGGGAGGGAACTCTCCCCTCCTACCCATATAAGGTAGTCCAAATAACATTTCATATGGGTATACTCCAATGTCAGATCGAGGGGCTGTGCAGATTCTTTTTTTTTTTTTTAATAAGGCTAAAGACCAAACATTTGGTCCATGGCAATTTAGTCTCTAAAACTAATTTAGACAAATGCTTTTTCAAAGTTTGATTCATCCTTTCTACCTTTGCTAATGAAGGGGGTGCCATGGGGTATGGAAATTCTGGTTAATATCCAATCCCTTTGTGACTTTCTGCAAAACTTTAGAAGTGAAGTGACTCCCATTATCAGAATCAATGCTTTCAACTAGGCCATATTGGGGAATAATTTGTTCTAGCAGTATTTTTGAGACCCCAGTAGCTGTAGCATTGGGCAGGGGGTATGCTTCCACCCATCGAGTCAAGTGATCTATTATAACTAGAAGATATTTGAATTGCCCCACCTTCAGGAATTCGGTGAAGTCCACCTGTATGCTCTGAAATGGTCAGAGGACGGGACTCTGCCCTCCTACAGCCGATTTCCTCATTACTTTATTATTTACTTTTCCATAGATTATATACCCCTCACAAATTTGTCTTGCCACTGTGTAGATACCTATATACCCATGCTCTCTCTTTTTTTTAATTTTAATTTTTTGTTTTTTTTTTTACACCCATACTCTCTTAAGATGGCATCACCAAGGGCCCGAGAACCCCAGTGGTTATCTTGGTGGAGATTCTTCAACAATTCTCTTGCCACAGCTTTATTAATCGTACCCCTTCTGTCTGGAAGGATCCATTTCCCTTTTTCAGTCTCAACAGCCCCAGTTTCCCTTAAATGGTCTTTCTCTGATTCTTTGAAAGAAGGGGTCATCCTAATTTCTGATATGTGTGGAATTAGGACTTGAATTTTTGTAATCTCAGCATCACTGGCAGCTTCCTTAGCTTTTTCATCCGCCAGTCTATTTCCTCTTGCCTCAAAGCTACCTCCCTTTTGGTGTCCAGGCATATGCAGCTTGGCAGCTTCAAATTTTTCAACACTTCTTTGATCATTTCTCCATGTACCAGTTCTTTCCCTTTGAAAGTTATGAATCTTCTTTGTACCCCAAAATTTCCAAAGATGTGCACTATCCCATATGTATATATGGAGTCTGTGTATATGGTTCCTCAAAGCCTGATTTAGAGCAAAGATTTCACAAGTTTGAGCTGACCATGAAGCTGGCAGTTTCTCCATTTCTTTTACTGATCCACCCATTCCATCTATAACGTATCTATTCTGTCTTTTCCCTTCTACCTCTCGAGATGACCCATCCACAAGACATGTTCCCCAACAGGGAGGGGGCTGTCTGCTAGATCAGGTCTGACCTTGGTTTGATAACAGATAATATCCAAACAATCATGCTCTATGTTTGGTGGAGTATCCCCTCTCCTAGACAGAAAGGAGGCCTGATACACATGAGATTCCGTACTTAACACTAAATCATCCTTTTCAATCAAAATGGCTTCATATTTTAGGATCCTGGAATCCATTAACCACCTGCCTGCCTTTTGTTTCAAAATATTACTGACTTGATGGGGAGTGGAGACTATTAATGCTTCCCCAAATGTTAGCTTTCTGCTTTCTTCTACTAGGGCGGCAGTTGCTGCTACTGTTTAGACACATTCTGGCCACTCGGGAGAGATTGGATCTAGCATTTTTCTACCAGTCTCCTCATTCCTCCCCAAGTTTGGGCCAACACCCCCAATGTTATTCCTTTTTCCACCATCACAAATAGGTGAAAAGGTTTATTAAGGGAAGGGAGAGTTAGAATGGGACTTAGGTTAGGGACTGCTTCAGGTTTTTAATTAGTTCTAACTTTACCTGATTAGATCTGGTTCTTCATCTAATAATTTAGAGTATAATGGCTCGGTTCTCTGGGCATACAAATCTATCCAGAGTCTATAATACCTGACTATTCCCAAAAACTTCCTGAGTTCCCTCTTGAATTTTGGGATCAGGGTTTCAATAATTCCTTTAATTCTTTTGGGACCTATTTTTCTTTTCCCTTCATTAATCAAGTGTCCCAGGCAGGTACTTCACTAATCAAGTGTCCCTCTTTTTCCACAAATTGTAACTTATTCCTAGATACCCTTAATCCCTATGATTCTAAGAAGTTCAACAACTATACAGTAGCTTCAGTCACTTGTTTTCTCTTCTGCCCTGACACCAGTAGATCATCTACATACTGCAACAAGATAATTCCATAGGGAATTAGAAAATTCTCCAGCACTCATTCCAAAACCTGCCCACATGAACTGGGGGACTCTGTAAAACCCTGAGGTAAAACTTTTTTACTGGACTGGTAAAACAGTCCACTGGAATTGCTGCTTTCTCCCTGTATAAAGATTTTCCCACTCAAAAGCAAAGAGCTCCCTACTCTCCTTGGAGAAAGGACAAGCCCAGAAGGCATCCTTAAGATCGACTACACTGAACTACTTATCCTTGTAAAGGATTTTTCCCATCAGGGTATATGGATTTGGAACTACAGGGTGTCTTGTGGCCTTGTTTCTGCTCACAGCCCTAAGATCCTGTACCAATTGATAAGAACGATCAGGCCTGCCCAGGTAAAGGGGAGACATAGGAAGGTGGGAGGATCCCACAAGGACTCCTCTTTGCTGGGTCTCCCTCCTTCCTTTAATTTTTAGAGGAAAGATCTTGGAGGTTGCCTTCCCTTTCCAACAAGAGGCATAATCACTCTCCTCTTGACTAAATGGTTTCTTTTCATTCATAAAGATATTTAATGCGTGGCATATCCAATCCTCATTGGCCCCATACTTGGGCCAAAATACTGCCAGAGGCATAATGCTCTCCTTAGGCCAAATAACACAATGAAACTTAGTCATCTGTTTCTTATTCTTGTCTTTTGTATGTGTACATCCATCCCAATTTTCCAGTATCCTCCCTAAGGGACTATTTGGAGGAATGCCACCAGGGGCCCTCATCCCTGCCCCTTCTCCTGATGCCTTAGTTTCCTTATTCCCCATTCCACCTATCTTTGAGTACCAGTCCTACTCTGTAGTTCCTTTCAGCAGAATGTTCCCACTAACAAGGTAGTACTTGAAAGTCCAACCTTTTTTACCTTGCTCTGTGCACAGACTTGAGTAGTAGCCATGGTTTTTTTCCTATTCCTCACTTGTGTCACTCCACCTTGCTCTAAATTGAAGTCTCGAGTCTGGGCAGTCAGAAGGGAGGACACTCACCAACGATCCACGAAGCCATTGAACTTAGCGGGGCACACCTCTCTGTCCTTTGGTGGCAGTTGCCCTCTTACATTGATGCTTCAGATCCCAGACAAGCCCCCAAATTATTAGAAATAGCTTCTATAGGAAAGACAAAGACTCCTGGGGTAGATGAGGCAAGCTTATTTATTATACATTCTTGCAAGAAGCTGGTGTGCTGCTAGAGGCAGACACATACACTGAAGTGAAAGCAGTTATATCCCTGTCTGGAAATGCAAGGTCCCTCCCTCGTTTCTCCATTGGCTGGATACTTTGAGGTGTTTAACTTCCTGGAACGCCTACTTCACATTGCTTCTTAATGTGCCTTTGCCCCCACTATATACATTGCACATACGAAAATGGCAGATGGCTCCTCCTTAAGGGAGAAGTTAATATTCATATCCCAATTAACATGCATAGTTTTTTTCAGATTGAGACTTTGGCCTATTTTCTACATTTTCAACCACACTACTAGTTTCGGCTGGTTCCTTCTGATTCTACATATTGCTAAAAACAATTCTGAGTAAAATTACTCCGTTTACGCCTGTAGATACTTCTGAATTCTATGAGTTAGGACCACTTCCTCTACTTCTGTGGAAACATAATTTCCTATACCTTACAAGTGGAGAAAAAAAAAAAGGAAAGCAAGTGGTCTTAACGATAAGTGAAAGGGAGTAGCAAACTGCAGATGCCCCTGATTAGAAACAAAATGATTCCTCTTTAGAGTACCTGTGGTTTTCCAGCCTCCTCCCCCCAGTTAAGTATAAGTTTACACTTATATGGTGCTTTGTTATTACAAAGTATTTCCCATATCTTATGTCTTTTGATCCAATAGCTCCTAAAGGTAGATGGCATAAGTATCATCTCCGTTTTTCCTAGAATAAGAGGGTCTAGAACCAGAAAGAACTTTTTAAAGAGATAATTTAGATGAAAAATAAATGGCTCTTGGTACTTTGCTCACAAAAATCCTTTTGTGTATTATCATCTGCGTTTTACTTCATGCCTTCTGGATTCCAAATCCAGTGCTCCTCCCACTATATCACAGAAAACCCAGGATCAGAAAGATGAAGTATCTGCTCATATTAGGTGGCAGAATTTGGGGAGGGTACTACTCATATCTCCGAGCTTCCCAGTCTAGTATTCTTTCTTTTTTTTTTTTATTAATAAATTTATTTGTTTTTAGTTTTCAACATTTACTTCCACAAGATTTTGAGTTCCAAATTTTCACCCTATCTTGCCCCTCCCCCACCCCAAGATGGCATGCATTCTGAATACCCCTTCTTGTAGTCTGCCCCCCATTCTGTCTCTCCCCCCCTTCTCTTAATCCCTTCCCCTTTTATTTTCCTGTAGGGCAAGATAGATTTTTGTACCCCATTTCCTGTATTTATTATTTCCCAGTTGCATGTGAAAACATTTTTTTTTAAACATGTGTTTTTAAAACTTTGGGTTCCAAAATTTCTCCCTCCCCACCCACCCTCATTGAAAAGGCAAGCAACTCAATATAGGTTATACATGTGCAGTTATGCAAAACACTTCCATAGTAGACATGCTGTGCAAAACTAACTCTATTTCCCTTAATCCTGTCCTGCCCCCCCATTTATTCTGTTCTTTCTTTTGACCCTGCCCTTCCTCAGAAGTATTTGCTTCTGATTATTCCCTTTCCCAATCTGCCCTCCTCTCTATCATTCCCCTGCTCTCTTGTCCCCTTCTCCCCCTATTTTCCTGTAGGATAAGACAGATTTCCATACCCAATTGAGTGTGTATGTTATTCCCTCCTTAAGTCAAATCCTATGAAAATAAGATTCACTCTTTCCCTCTCACCTTCCCCCATTTCTCCTCCACTGTAAGAGCCTTTTCTTTACTGGTTTTTTTTTTTTTTTTGTGAGATAGTTTACCCTGTTCTACCTCTCTCTTTCTTCTCCTAGTATAAGCCTCTCTCACCCCTTAATTTTATTCTCCAAATATGACCCCTTCATCTTCAACTCACCCTGTGCCCTCTATCTGTCTCTCTCTCTCTCTCTCTATTATATATATATATATATTTATATACACACACACATACATATAATTTTTTCCCTCCAACTACCCTAATACTGACAAAGGTCTCATGAGTTACAAATATCATCTTTCCGTGCAGGAATGTAAACAGATCAAACTTAATAAGTCTCTTATGATTTCTCTTTCCTGTTTACCTCTTCATGTTCCACTTGAGTCCTGTATTTGAAAGTAGAATTTTCTATTCAGCTCTGGTCTTTTCATCAAGAATGCTTGAAAGTCCTCTCTTTCACTGAATGACCATTTTTTCCCCTGAAGGATATACTCAGTTTTGCTGGGTAGGTGATTCTTGGTTGTAATTCTGTCTCCTTTGCCCTCTGGAATATTATATTCCATGCCCTGCAGTCCCTTAATGTAGAAGCTGCTAAATCTTGTGTTATCCTGATTATGATTCCACAATACTTGAATTGTTTCTTTTTGGCTGCTTGCAATATTTTCTTCTTGAACTGGGAACTCTGGAATTTGGCTACAATATTCCTAGGAGTTTTCCTTTGGGGATCTCTTTCAGGAGGAGATCGGTGGATTCTTTCAATTTCTATTTTGCCCTCTGGTTCTAAAATATCAGGGCAGTTTTCCTGGATAATTTCTTGAAAGATGATGTCTAGGCTCCCTTTTTGATCATGGCTTTCAGATAGTCCAATAATTTTTAAATTCTCTCTCCTGGATCTATTTTCCAGGTGAGTTGTTTTTCCAATGAGATATTTCACATTGTTTTCTAATTTTTCATTCTTTTGGATTTGTTTTACAATGTCTTGATTTCTCATAAAGTCACTAGCTTCCAATTGCTCTATTCTAATTTTTAAGGAAGTATTTTCTTCAGTAATCTTTTGGACTTCCTTTTCCATTTGGCCAATTTTGCTTTTTAGGGCATTCTTCTCCTCATTGGCTTTTTGGACCTCTTTTGCCATTTGGGTTAGGCTATTTTTTAAGGTGTTATTTTCTTCAGTATTTTTTTGTGTCTCCTTTAGCAAGCTGTTGACTTGTTTTTCAGGATTTTCTTGCATCACTCTCAGTTTTTCCTCCACTTCTCTTACTTGCTTCTCAAAATCTCTTTTGAGCTCTTCCAAGGCCTGGGACCAATTCACATTTTTCTTGGAGGCTTTGGATGTAGGAGCTTTGACTTTGTTGTCTTCTTCTGGTTGTATGTTTTGATCTTCTTTGTCACCAAAGTAAGATATTATAGTCTGACTCTTTTTGTGCTGCTTACTCATGATCCCGGCCAATTACTTGAGTTTTAAACTCTTTGTTAAGGTAAGAATCTACTTCTAATGTGGAGAATGTACTGTCCCAAGCTTTGGGGGTTTGTACAACTGTTTTCAGAGCTACTTCTAGGGTCCCATAAATTTTCAGTTCTTCCAAGGTGGTATGATAAGGGGCAAGGTATTTCCTTTTCACTGCCACAACAAGCTTCACCATGCCAGCACTCCTCCTTGCCCCGAGACCGCCACCCAGAACTGTGGCCCAGATCCAAGCACTGGCAAAGCAAGAGATTTCTGCCTCAGCACTGGCAAAGAGATCCCTGCAATCCCCCTCTGATCAGCAACTTGATTCTCCCTCAGTCTGTGGGCCGGAAGCTCAGGAAACAGCCACAGCCCCGGGTCGGGCTCAGGACTCGCGGCTGAGACCTAGCTTCTCTCTCACCAAAGAAACAGACTTTTCCCACTGACCTTCCAAGTTGTCTTTGGCCTTCATGGGTTGAGAAGTCTGGAAACTGCCACAGCTGATTCAGTCCTCTGAGGCCTGCTCCTGGGTTGCTGCGGCCTGCGTGCCCATGCCGAACTGCGCTCCTCTCCCCGCCCGGTGCGATATAGCTTTCTGATCAACCATCCAGGTTGTCTTGGGCTGTGAATTTGTTTCACTCTGTCTTTTTGTGGGTTCTTCTGCTTTAGAATTTGCTTAGAGCCATTTTTTACAGGTATTTGGAGGGGTTTCGGGGAGAGCTCAAGCAAATCACTGCTTTCACTCTGCCATCTTGACTCCGCCCCTCTCTAGTATTCTTTCTACTATCTCATGTTGCTTCCCAAACAGTGTACCTGGAAGGTTCCTCTCTATTTTCGAAATCCAAGATTCCTATTTTCCCAAAATTTTGCATTAGATTTAACTTGTTATACCACCTCTGCTGGTTACTTACCTGTGTGACCTTAGGCAAGTCATTTAACACCCATGAGTCTCAGCTTCCTAATCTGTAAAATGAGGAATTTTAGAGTGGATGCTTTCTGAGCTCCCCTCCAGTTAAAACATTTTGTGTTCTAAGATCCTTTTTCACTTTTTTTTTTTAAGGTAATTGGGGTTAAGTGACTTGCCCAGGGTCACACAGCTAGTAAGTGTGAAGTGTTTGGTCTGAGGCTGGATTTGAACTCAGGTCCTCCTGACTTTAGGGCTGGTGCTCTATCCACTGCACCACCTAGTGCCTCCTTTCTCACTTTAAATCAATATCTCTCTCTCTCTCTCTCTCTCTCTCTCTCTCTCTCTCTCTCTCTCTCTCTCTCTCCCCCCCCTTCCTCCCTCCCTCTTTTCTTTTTCTCCCTACCTCCTCTACACACACACAGATATGTATACTCCCTATATGTGTGTGTATGCACACACATATAATATTTCAAACAGCACATAATGAAAGTCATGGTTGAAGGAGGTGAATAGAAAATCAAAGAAAATGGTAAAATTTTAAAAAAGTAGCTGAAGACTAGATTCCATAAAATTTGCTGTAAAAGATTTGTTTTCTTGATTTGAGAAAAGGGGTATGGACAGCATAGCCTAAGTAGGGGGCTGAATTCACAATGTTTTCTCATTTCCTGTTAAGTTATGACTGTCAAAGATGAATTACTAGCTAGACCAAATGGTGGAATGATGAAGGATAAATAGGATCCAAATGTTTATATAGGGACTATGCAATGAAGTGCTTTTGGGGGAATTCATTCACTATAATGAAAAACATCACACCTTCATAATGTACTCTCTTCAATGTAATGTAAATTTGTTTTTAATCCGAGTGAAGTTGGAGGCAGTTCACTTAATTAAAGAAGTAAATTTCATGTTATCATTGTCTATAACTTAATCAGTTTTCTTTGCAAGGACTGTTTTCTGGGGAGCTGGAGAATATTCCAACTCTCTGACTAAGAGAAGGAATGATTAGGTTTTGACACTTTTTTTTCCCCTTTTTTGGTCCACTAGGAAACCTGCAGACCTGCAGAACTTGGCTCCAGGGACTCACCCACCATTTATAACTTTCAACAGTGAAGTCAAAACGGATGTGAACAAGATTGAGGAGTTTCTTGAGGAAGTCTTATGCCCACCTAAGTGAGTATCAAAGATAAAATGATGCATGGAAATAGTGCCACTGTTGAATTTTCTTTTCTTTCTTTCTTTCTTTTTTTTTGCTGGATAGATGGAACAACTGGTCTTTGAAAAAGAGAATCCTGTCTCCTGATACATTACATAGACTTAACATCTGGTTAATGTGCAAATACCGAATTATTTTAACGGTAGTCATATTAGGAATAAATAAGAGCCTTTCTTCCCAAAGTATTGACTTGCTATTGATAAGTGAGTGGCTGTCTGAGCTGGGGCTTAGACAGTGATGGGATGAGCCACGTCAGGAGGGTTGGCTGGACCCAGGAGAGGGGAGGGCCTTAAGTGTCAGGGCAGGTGAGTCTGAGAGAAGAACCTGCTGAAGCCTGAATTAAAGGCAGGTTCAGAGTGGAGTCCGTGGGAAAGGGAGCAGCAGTTCATAGGTGTCATTAGCTAAAGGCCCAAGCAGTGTCCAGGCAGGGCCAGGTGGGGCAGCTAGTTGGAGAATGTCCATCACACAGCAGTAATCACTTGGGCTTCTATAGTGCTTTAAACATCACAAAGTGCCTTATCCACCACTACCCTTTAGTAAGGTCATGCACATGTTATTATCCCAATTTTATCTGCAGTTAGTTCTCATTGGGTAATTCACTCTAGCTGGAAGTGGTCTTTTCCTCATCTCATCTTTTACCCCTTTATTATGTGCACCCATTTATATTTGTGTTCATGTCTTGTCTTCTTTTTCTTTTCCCCCGTACTAGATAATAAGCTCTGTGAGGTAGGGACCAAGATGTATTTATCTCTGACTCTTCCTTGCCCAGTACATAGTACTTAATGTTCAGCTGAATAATTTAAATCTGTAGATATTTCAGACTTTAATTTAAGTAATAGCTTTGGTATTCTCTAACAAGGGTTTTATTGGTGCTACTAATAAATAGGATCATAGAAAGTCAGAGCTGGGAGGGGCCTGAAAATGTACATAGACAGTCAGAATTGTAAGGGACCTTAAAATGTAAAATATCAGAACTGTTAAGGACTTTAGGCCAGAGGCTGTTAAAGGGGACCTTAAAACATGCAGTGTCAGAGCTGGAAGAACCTTTAGCCCATACAAAGTCAGAATTGGAAATGTCCCGATTCCAAACCTTTACTCCTCAAGCCCTCCGTACGTCCTCCTGCTATCCTCCTCAACACCTCTTCCTTCCCTCAGTCGAGGACTTTGTTTCTTACTTTACTGAAAAAATTGAGTCCATTCCACTTGGCCTCCCTCTTATTCCCTTGACATCATCTCCCACTTCCCTCATTTGTGACAGAGGTGGCCCCTCTTGACAGGGTGAACCCCACTACATAGAACTGTATTGTATCTTCTCCCATCTCGTCCAGTGGATTAGCATGGTTAGATGCCATAGAGTATGTGTTGTAAAGGCCATTAGGACCTCCTCCATCCTTATCACAGGGAGTGCTGACCTTCTCTCTGTGATTACATCTTCAGTCACTTTTCCTTTTTCCAGTCTTCAGTCAGTCAAATCAGTAAACATTTATTAAGTGCCTACTATGTGCTAGGCGCTGTGGGGATACTGCAAGAGGCAAAAGACACTTACTAGCTGTGTGACCCTGGGCAAGTCACTTAACCCCAGCTGCCTCGCCAAAAAAAGAAGAAGAAAAAAAGAGGCAAAAGACAGTGCTTTTCCTTGAGGAGCTCAGTCTAATGGAGAAGACAACATGCAAACAAATATAGACAGAGCACGCTCTGTTCAAAATAAATAGAAAATATTTAGCAGAGGGAAAGCACTAGAATTAAGAGGGGTTGCTTGGGAAAGGCTTCCTGTAAAAGATGGGATTTTAGTTGTGATATGAAGGAAGCCCGGGAGGTCAGTAGATGAAGCTGAGGTGGGAGTGTTCCTGGCATGGGACAGCTAGAGAAAAGGCCTGGAGTTGAGAGATAGAGGATCTTCTTTACGGAGCAGCCAGGAGACCAGTGTCACTGGATTGAAAAGTATGTGTCAGGGAGCAAGGTGTAATAAGACTGGAAAGGTAGGAGGGGACTAGGTTAGGAAGGGCTTTGAATGGCAAACAGAGCATTTAGTATTTGATCCTGGAGATAGTAGGGAGCCACTGGAGTTTATTGGGGGGGGGCAGCAGTTGATATGATCAGATCTGTGCTTTGGGAAACTCACTTTAGTGGCTGAATGGAGGGATGGGATGGTATTGGAGAAAGACTTGAGGCAGGCAGACTCACCTGCAGGTTACTGCAGTAGTTCACGTGTGAAGTGATGGGGGCCTGCACTAGGGTGGTGGCAGTGTCAGAGGAGAGAAGGGGACATATTGGAGAGGTTTTGCAAAGATGGAATCAGCAGACTTTGGTGACAGCTTGGATATAGGCAGTGAGAGAGAGTGAGGATCCAGGATGACTCCTAGCTTGGGACTGGGAGGATGGTGTTGTCCTCCATGGTAACAGGGAAGGTTGGGGGGGGCAGGGGAGGGTTTAAAGGAAAGGTCATGAGCTCCACTCCTTACCCTCTCCCTGGCAGCTGAGTCCTGCCCTGAGGCCTTCCAACAGGCCAGTTTCCCAGACTTAAAAAATGCTCTCTAGACATTCCCTTCTCCTCATGCCTCCTCTTCCTTAATTAATTGTCTCCACTTGTTGCTTCTCCTTCTTTTCTTACTTGATCCTCAGTCTTTTGCAGGGGACTTCTGATCTCATCACTCAACTGAAACAGCCCTTTCCATTGTTATGGGTGATTTCTTAGTGTAGGCTTTTCCCCAATTACATATAAAAATAATTTTTAACATCAGTTTTTTTTTTAACTTTTGAGTTCCAATTATTTCCCTCCCTCCCCATCCTCCTCCCTAAGATGGCAAGCAGTTTTATATAGGTTATACATGTTAGAGTTGAAAGTAGCAAATCATGTTACTGGGGAGTGGGGGGTGGGGGCTTCATCTAGGAAAATAAGCAACTCAAGAAAACAAGTTCAGGTGGCCCCTCCTCAATGTGTAGTCATTAGCATAAGCTCTTTGAAAATCTTATATTTTTACTGTTTTCTAATTAACAAACAAGAATTATTCTCCCCTCCCCCTTTTACACCCCAATGGTAAAAGAGAAACAAAGCCCTTTTAACAGCTATAGGTACTTAAAAAAAGAAACAAACAAATTCCTTCACTGGCCATGTCCAGAGATATGTCTTGTTCTATATCTTGAGTCCATCCCCTATCTGTCCAGAGGTGGCTAACATGTGTTGGCCATGATTGGCCCTCCAGAATCATGGTTGGTGATTGCAATGATCAGAGTTCCTGAGCCTTCCTTTCAAAATTTTTTGTATTTACAGTGTTGCTGTTGTGTAAATCATTCTCTTTGTTTCTGCTCACTTCACTTTGCCTCAGCTCATACAAATCTTCCCAAGTTTCTCTGCAACTTTCCCTCTCATCATTTCATACAGTGAAGTAATATTCCATGATATGCATACACCGTCATTTGTTCAGTCATTCTTTCAATAGAAGGAAACCTCCTTAGCTGCTAGGTCTTTGCCACCACCAAAAGCTGCCTTATTTTTGTTCATATGGGTCCTTGTGCTCTTTGATCTCTTGGGACTCTGGGAAGGCGAAGGCCTCCTATTGGCATTGCTGGGTGAAGGCTGTGAGCAAAGGCTTTTAGTGCATTGATCAGTTTCTAGACTGAACTTGGTGCTACCTGGAGTCTGGTCCCCACATTTATCATTAGCTTCAGGTCAAAGCTATTCACTTCATGTCTACCTCCAATTCAGAGGTGCTCCCTGGTCCAGAACACATAATGTGCTTGGGCTTGTAGAGTAGGTAGATCTTGTCCTGTCTCTGAAACCAGCTCCAGAGAAGACTCCTAAAGTAAAAAGATCTTGCCTTTTGGGCAGGGGCATGTTTGCCCTGCAGCAGTGAGGTTTTCCAGGCTGCAGGGGGACCTGAAATTCCTGTTCTCCCTCTCCTACACAGCTAAATGTATCATCCATTAAACAGAGCCACTTAAATAAAGAGGAATGGATTTTTAATGGCCACTTTCTGCAGAATTAAGAATAGAGATTATTCACTTTGGCTTGTTTTTACATCATTAATGGTAAATACCTACACAAGGTGAAACCATCCTCCTGATAAAAAGCCGTTCTGGGCTCAGATTGTTAGGGCCTATTGTTTAATTGTTACATCGTATATCTTTCAATAACATATCTGAAAGATTCACTTGCTTGGCTAGTTACAGTAGTCAAATCAATTGATTTAATAGCTAGCAAATAATTATTATCTATGACCCACTTTATCCCCTAGGGACATAATCAGAGATTTTTGGAAACAAATGAAATATATTCAGTCATGTTCTCACTATTAAAAAATATGTTAGAACAAAAAAGCCTTTTATATTATTAATAGAATAAAAAATTAAGAATATTTAAAATATTTTATCATCCTTTAAAATGTCCATTTTTGTATGTTTTATAATAGATTATAATATAATTTAACTATTAATAAACTGGTACATGTATGTAATTTATAAATACATACACATTGGGAGTGGGTGCTAAAACCTTTTTGTGCAGTCACAATGTGGGGCCGCTTAGAGGCTGTCCCTTCTGCAGCCTCCCTGCCCCCCACCAAGGATCCTCACTCCTGTTTTGCCTCAGTCACACTCCTTTACTTAGAAAACCCCAATAGCCTGCTGGTTTCCAAATCTGATGATCCTGGCACTTAAGGGCTCCTGTGGCTCCTGGTTCCTGTGTGCTTTTCTGACCTTATGCTGTGTTCCCCTTCACACATTCTCTATTGCCACCAAACTAGATCGTTCTCTGTTCTCTGTCCCACCTCCTAGTCAGAGCTCACTCTTTCCTTCTTGCCTGGAATAAATCTCCTCCTTCCCTGCTCCTGCCAGTCTCCATCCCTTCAGCCAAGGGCCAGCTGAGGAGCTGCTTCCTTCATGAAGGCTTCCCTAGACCTAGAAGCCACCTTCTTTCTTCAAGGGGAGGCATTGTGTCACTGCACTTAGAGTCAGCATT